ATATATATATATATATAAAGAGATAAATAAATATATATCTATCTCTTTTCTTCAATCAAAAAATATTTTAGTAATATTTTTGTTATTATCACTTTTTTAGTTAATATTTGATATATCGTCACAGACGTCGTGTCAATCTTATTTAATTTTCAGAACGTGACTATGCCAGGAACTAATGATACTATATACTCAGAGGATATCAACGCTAATCCTGATTTTTCATTTTATCGAGATATATACGGTGCTTGCATCATCGGCATATTATTGACAAGTTTTCTTCGTGGCTTAGTAATTATGTTTGCCACGATAAAAGCTTCGACTACATTGCACAACACGTTTCTTCACAAAATTATTAGTTCTCCGTTAAGCTTCTTCGAAACTACTCCAAGTGGTAGAATACAGAACGTTTTCAGTCGAGACATAGACGAAAGTGAATGATTTTTTAATTATTTTACACATGCACTTGTCGCAAATCAATATATCTAATTTAATTAATTTTCTGATTTGCAGTTGATAATTATTTACCCATATCGATAGAAAACATGGTGCAAAATATTTTTACTTGCAGTTTTGCTATTTTTTTTATTTGTGGCATATTGCCCTGGTTTTCGATACCGTTACTTCTATTTGGTGTACTATTCTTCTTCGTTGGCAAATTGTTTAGGTATTAGCCTAAATATCGCAATTTATGTATATAATTTACATATGATTAACTGTTTTGTTTTGTGTCTTCATAGAATAGGAATGAGGGATTTGAAAAGAATGGAGAGTGTCTCGCGGTCTCCTGTTTTAAGTTTCGTTACAACGACGATTCAAGGTTTAAGTACAATTCACGCTTTTCAAAAGGAGAAGAATTTCTTATACAGGTAATTATTTAGTGAAATACATGCATCATATAATAATGAAGTAATAGAAAAAGAATATGGTGATTGAATTGTTTCTTGTCGATAGATTTGAAGAATTATTCAACACGAATAATTTATGTCAGTATCTATGTCAAGCCGCGATGAGATGGTCTGCGATTAGACTGGATAGTTTGGTAATTGCTTCATCCTGTATAATTGCGTTATTCGTGATTTCATTTAAAAATGAAATATCGCCGGCCTTTGCCGGTCTGGCTATGGCATATGCCACACAGATGACTGGTGTTTTCCAGTATACGGTCAGACTAATGTCTGAGACGGAAGTGCGCTTTATAAGCGTAGAGAGAATTAGTTACTACCTCAAGGTAATCTATTTCTGTTTAATTGATAATAAATTCTGATTTTGTAATTTCTTTTTGTTTTAATCTTATATCTTATTCAGACTTTGCAGAAAGAAGGTGCAAGCAGAACAGTCGCTCTTAAACCAGCCGATGATTGGCCTTCTCGTGGCAAAATAGAGTTCAAAGCTGTTCAGATGAGATACAGAGAGGAGTTGCCGCTTATACTGCTCGATGTCTCGTTTACGATAAAGCCCGGAGAAAAAATTGGTAATAGCTAAATATTTTCTTTCTCTTTCTCGTTTGTCGCATTTTCTTATGCGAGAAATTAATTGTGAATTATTTCAGGCATCGTAGGTCGCACAGGATCCGGTAAAAGCTCCTTAGTCGTAGCTTTATTCCGATTAGTCGAAATTTGTGAAGGGAGTATTAAGATCGACGGTATAGATATTTCGAAATTAGAATTAGATATACTAAGAAATAAATTGTCAATTATTCCTCAAGATCCAGTTTTATTCAGTGGCACTGTAAGGTAATAAATTTAATTGGCAATTTTTGCTAGCTATTCTCTTCATTTGATTCGTTTTTTAGATCTAATTTGGATCCTTTCCAACATCACGCCGATCATGATATTTGGAATGCTCTTGAAAAGACTCAGATGAAAGAAAAGGTGTCTCTAATGTCGGGAAATCTCGATGCGTCCGTTGGATTTGGCGGAAATAATTTGAGCATTGGCGAGAGACAGCTTCTTTGTCTGGCAAGAGCTTTATTACACAGTACAAAGGTAATGCACTTTTATTGAGCGATTTTTGCAATATTACATATATTTAAAATTGATTTCCGGAGAATACTTCTTATTTCTTTTTAGAATATTAAAATTAATATTAACATGTTATACGCATATTATAGATACTGATTCTGGACGAAGCCACGGCCGCCGTCGATCCGGAAACTGAAGCGACAGTGCAGAACACGCTGCAGAACGAGTTCGCGGATTGCACTGTACTTACGATCGCTCATAGATTACAAACTGTTGTTGCGTGTAATCGCATTCTCGTCATGAGCGAGGGCAAGATTGTTGAATTTGATGCACCTGCCACACTTCTCTCTTATCCAGATTCCGAATTTTCGAAACTGATGGCTGCTGCAGATGAAAATGCATAAAATAATCCTCGCAGAGATCTGAATCATAATTGCAATGCATTTAATCACATTTTATCAGTTTGTATGATGAAACTAAATACATTAACTTTCAGCGTCATGTGAGTAAATGAAAGAGCAAGAAAAGAAAGATATATTTATATATTTCAAAAATACAAAATAAGGATAAGTAAAGAAATGAACATAACAAATGACTGTATTTTTCTATTAATAAACTACTTTATTAAATTATTAATTAAAGAGATTAAATAATATTATCTATAAGCTCGTATTCTGTATATAAATAAAAGAGAGAAAAAAATCTTTCCGTTTTCTCCCTCTTTTTACTTAATCCTTTCAAATAATTTATTATAATAATTTAATTTTTATTATGTTATACTAGTTTATGTTATGTTATACTAGTTATGTTATAAAGTTATGTTATAATACATAACTTTATATTATATTAGTTATATGTTTAGCTAGAACTTTGGATTTGCTGAAAATTATATATGAAAATTGTGTTTCAAAAAAATAAACATTTTCGTTGTTAAACTGTTATTGGTAACATCTATTAATTTAGCGATAAAAGGATTGATTTAATATTTTAATTAAAGACGAATATTTTTAAGTAGGAATAAATAATTATAAAAAAATCACGATTTCTGGAAATTCGCGCCCTTTAGAATAAAGTGTGAAATATTGATTTTCTCACAGAAGGTGGAGGACACACTGCTCATGCCCATTTGCCCAGACTTTCGGCCGTGCTGGCGACACGGCCGAAACATGTTCACTCCGACATTGCCAGCTTGTTATTACCTCTGAGATGTTTATTACATGTTGAGCTTTATCGTTGCTTTATATCGAGATGTAGTCTATAGAAATTGCCGTAAAGGCAGTGTCCGTCGTTTCGTGAACAGCTAAAAGAAAGGTAAATTCTTTGACAATAAAATATTCCTTAGAGTTATCCCTTTTACGAACAACACCGATTTCGTAAACTAGCTATCTTTTAAGTTTTATTGAGCTATTTTTAAAAGTATATGTTACTGGAAATTAAATATATATTAATAAATTATTTATATAAAGTTTGAAATGTTACATATATACTAATAAGATGTATTACTAATCTAATACATATATTTTAAAATAGTGGATAGAATGTATAGAAAGATATATGAACATTGAGAGCAAACGTGATACTTATCTTGTCAAATAATAATTTAATTTTTAATAATCATTTTTATTAATGACATGTCCAATTTCGATCATTTTTCTGTTACTTCCAGGCCTCATCATTGCGAACATAATCCCTATTATGATGCTGGGGCGGAAGCAGAGCCTCAAGGGGGAACCCGTCCTGGCCGATTATGGTCCAGAAGAGTCCCTCAATGAGAGCGCTGACATAGAATGGGTCAACAAGGTGAGTGGAAGTATAAATTGACCCAGGGGAGAAAATTGTAAAAATCGAAAATGTTTTCCTTTTCTCACAATCAGATCTTTCCTGAAAACCGCTTTATGTGATTTCAGTTATGGGTAAGACGGTTGATGCGACTTTGCGCCCTAGTCTCGTTGGCTTCTGTTTGCTTGAATACTCCAAAAACTTTTGAGAAAGTACCATCCCTTCAATATGTTACCTTTATTTGCGATTTGATAATCACGTTTCTGTTCACTGCCGAGATGATCGCTAAGATGCATATACGGGGAATACTAAAGGTAAAGTCCCTCTTTATCAAAGAGATACAATTGAGATACTTGATTGCTTTGAGAAATAATTAAAAGTTTTTATTTTATTATTATGACACCAACAACATTATGAAATGGCGAATAAAATTTGTATGCACTTGTAACACATTTGATATAGACTAGAATGAAATTATAAATGGCATTGCAGAGGGATAAGTCTTACCTGAAAGACCACTGGTGCCAATTTGACGGGTTTATGGTAATCTTTCTCTGGTTATCTGTAATTCTGCAAATGTTTGAGATGCTGGGTTTCATAAAATTTAGTTACGCCTCGATAGCGCGGTCACCACGGCCGCTGATCATGATACGCTTCCTTCGAGTCTTTCTTAAATTTTCAATGCCCAGAGCCAGAATCAATCAGATCTTCAAGTAAGGATATTGATGTAAAATTGATATGAAAGATTTACATTTAAATAAGAATAAGATATCACAAGATACTATTATACACTACAATTATTAATTTAATTTAATTAATTTATTTAAGTTTATTAACAATATATGATTTATATTTAGACGCTCGAGTCAGCAGATCTACAACGTAACGCTTTTCTTCCTGTTCTTCATGTCCCTTTATGGTCTTTTGGGTGTGCAATTCTTCGGCGAACTAAAAAATCATTGCGTGCTGAACACAACTGAGCCTAATTACATTACGATCAACAGTCTGGCTATTCCTGACACATTCTGCTCCACCGATCCAGAATCTGGATATCAATGCCCCGAAGGAATGGTCTGCATGAAACTGGAGTTGACCAAGTATATTATAGGCTTCAATGGATTTGACGAGTTTGGTAGTAGTTAATGTTAATGTTATTATGCCCTTGTTCTTCTGTATTTATTGGCTTTCATATTATTTTTCTAAGAATGTGTAAAGCTAACTAATTTATTGGAACATTTGTTACAACTTTATGATTTTATCTTTCTTATACATATTTTCTTATATTTCATATTTTCATATTCTATATTCTTATGTAATAATAATTATAATAGCTTCAAAGATAGTAATAAGATTACAAATTATATTATAATTTATCCAGTTTTATCAAATTTTATCAAAATTTTGTCGATTTTTATATCTTGTATACACCGCATGTAAGTCTTTTTTTAATATGAAGATTGAATAATTTTAACATTATTTATCAATTAAAAACTAAAGTAATATTCGAATATTGTAAGTATTTAAAAATATCTTATTGTCTGAAAATTTAATTCCAAATTTGAATTATTTAGCTACCAGTATCTTCACCGTATATCAAGCGGCTTCTCAGGAAGGATGGGTCTTTATCATGTATCGCGCGATCGATAGTCTACCAGCATGGCGCGCAGTTCTTTACTTCAGTACAATGATATTCTTCTTGGCCTGGTTAGTGAAGAACGTTTTCATTGCTGTCATTACGGAAACTTTTAACGAAATCCGAGTACAGTTCCAACAAATGTGGGGCGTTAGAGGTCACATTAGCAACAGTTCGGCATCGCAGGTCAGTTTTACCAAAGATATCTTTGAAGAAACAGCCTTTACTTTACTTTATTAAAATATTCTCATTAAAAATATACATATATTTAAAATTAATTTTAAGCGAATATAATTGTATGATTTTATTGATAATATAATTGATATATTTACTTTATTTAATGCAGATATTGACTGGAGACGATAATGGCTGGAAATTAGTGACATTAGACGAGAATAAACATGGGGGCCTAGCCTCTCCACTTTGTCATACTATTCTCAAGTCGCCGCATTTTCGTTCAGTTATAATGTGTGCAATTCTAGCGAATGGCATCACCACTGCGACGATGAGTTTCAAGCATGATGATAAACCGAGGCAAACATACTATGACAATTATTACTGGGCCGAGATTGTCTTCACGATATTGCTGGATTTAGAGACCCTCTTCAAGATATGGTGCCTGGGTTTCCGGAGTTATTTTAAGCATTCGATTCACAAATTCGAACTGCTGCTTGCCATTGGCACGACTTTACACATTATTCCGTTTTTGTATCTCTCTGGATTCACTTTCTTTCAGGTTTCTATCTTTATTTGATTCCTCGTCTTTCATGTCGCTTCACTTTTACATTTTTCCTACAGTCTAATGTCTATGCTTTTTCCTTATTGTTTATATATTTTATTCTTTTATTCTTATTGTTTATATATTTTATATTCTTAGTTGTGTTGGTCTTTTTATACTTCTAAAAATTCAAACAATATAAAAGACCTTTAATTTATTATGGTATTTTTATATGGGAAGGTTCTCAGAATAGTTCGGCTTATTAAAGCGTCACCAATGCTGGAGGACTTTGTCTACAAAATTTTTGGCCCTGGCAAGAAGCTCGGTAGTCTCATCATTTTTACCATGTGCCTGCTGGTGATATCCTCAAGTATTTCTATGCAGCTCTTCTGCTTCCTTTGCGACTTCACCAAATTCGAAACTTTTCCTGAAGTGATTATACTTTAACAAACCACATTACACGACTATTGTGACTTACTCATCAAAATGTAAATTTTCAGGCATTTATGTCTATGTTCCAAATTTTCACACAAGAAGCCTGGGTCGATGTGATGGATGAAACTATGTTACGAACACATGAAGGCATAGCACCATTTATCGCAGTATACTTCATTTTGTATCATCTCTTTGTCACATTGGTAATCATCAATATCTCCTTTATGCAAGCTATGATATGAACTAATGCTGAATTATATCTTCAGATCGTGCTAAGTCTTTTCGTCGCGGTAATTCTTGACAATCTCGAATTGGATGAGGACATTAAGAAACTGAAGCAATTGAAATTTCGTGAACAAAGTGCCGAGATAAAGGAAAGCTTGCCATTCAGATTGAGAATCTTTGAAAAATTCCCAGACAGTCCGCAGATGACGTGTCTTCACAAAGTGCCATCAGATTTCAATTTACCGAAGGTAAATATTCATGAATAATTATTATTAACTCCTTGGTTTATTCCTTAGATATTAAATTTAGAATAGTTTTCATTTTGTTGAAGAATTTTAACATCTTACAGCCTCAAGATTATAAAACAATCTATTTCGCTTAATTATTCAATGGATTGAATTAATATTCGAGTTATCTTTTTTAAGGTGCGCGAGAGTTTTATGCGACAATTCGTGCTTGAAGTAGAGGATGAGGAAAATGAAGGTGTAAAGAGAATTAATGAAACCTTTGATTCAAAAATTGTGTATAGAAAACAACGCCCGGTGAAAATTTTAAATAATCCGCCGAAGGTGAGAAGTGTCGTTACTAATTTGAAGAAAGCTTCTGTTATTTATATCATAAAGTAAGTAAAATATCATTCGTTATTATATTTCTTGAAATTTTCAACTTAAAGATTTAAGTCGTTCTAGTGATTCCAATAATCAGAGGCTTCTCTTGGGAGACTCCGCCATGATTCCAGTACCAGGAAAAGGACTTCTAAAACCGCAGGGCACCGTGAGTGGCACTAAGCAACTTCGCATCGATCCGAAAAAGTAAGAACAAGATAATAGAAATGTTAATAGAATGAGTAACGAGAATTTAGATTTAGAAATTTGAAAATTTTTTAAATGGGACAATTTAAAGATTTAATAATAGTTTTTTTTAATTAATATATTACATATAAAATTTTCTAAGTTATTACTGTCTCTGTTAATTATCATCGATAAATTCTGATATTCTTTAAGTATAGTATGTAGTACGAAGATATTTTATGTTTTTACATTTATTTATCTATGTTTTCTATTGGCATAACAAAAATAGATCAATCAGAAGAAGCGTCCGAAGTGGATCGATCAAATTAAAACAGACGTACGAGCATCTTATGGAAAACGGTGATATAGGAGGAATAAACAGAGTCAGTTCGTCAAGCAGAAGGCCACATGATTTAGACATCAAATTGCTACAAGCTAAGAGACAACAGGCGGAGATGCGAAGGTATCGAAATTATTTCTGAGATTTTTAAGATTTTCACAATTATATATCTCTTATATATCTCTTATATCTTATATATCTCTTCTTTCATTCCAGAAACCAACGTGAAGATGATTTGCGAGAGAACCATCCATTCTTCGATACGCCGTTATTTGCAGTACCTCGCGAAAGCAAATTCCGAAAATATTGCCAGTTATTCGTCTATGCGAGATACGACGCGAGATTGAAAGATCCTTTAACAGGCAAGGAAAGGAAGGTGCAATACAAGAGTCTACAGTAAGCATCGCGAGATAATATTGAAATATATTGTCCCATCGTCATGAAGCAAAGAAGCCAAGTTCAATAAATTCTGTATCTCTTCCAGCAATTTTCTTGGTTTAGTGACCTATCTCGATTGGGTAATGATATTCATCACGACGTTGTCGTGCATCTCGATGATGTTCGAGACACCACGAAAGCGCGTAATGGAGACACCGGCGTTGCAGATCACCGAATACTGCTTCGTTATTTGTATGAGCATTGAACTAGCGTTAAAAATCTTGGCGGATGGTCTGTTCTTTACACCCAAGGCCTACATCAAAGACGTTGCCTCTGTGTTAGATGTCTTCATTTACATTGTTTAGTATATTGGAAATATTAAATTCTATTGGGAAATATTTCTTTTAACCTTAAGTATAATAATTATATGTGATAAATCATAAATAGTTCTTAGTATGTATATATAATATATAATATTGTATGCACGTTGTCGCAGGTAAGTCTCATATTCTTATGTTGGATGCCGAAAAGCGTGCCGCCGAATTCTGGAGCGCAACTGCTGATGATATTACGATGCGTCAGACCGCTAAGAATTTTCACTCTTGTTCCACATATGAGGAAAGTCGTTTACGAGCTGTGCAGAGGATTCAAGGAAATTTTATTGGTAAATATCGTTCTTTATTATTCTATTATTATCGTTCTATATTATCTCTATATTTTCTAGAAATAACTAATCTGAAAATGATGAAACAAATTAACAGATAAATATTACTTCATTCAGGTATCAACATTATTGTTCTTGCTGATGTTCATGTTCGCGAGTTACGGAGTGCAATTATATGGCGGTCGATTAGCGAGATGTAACGATCCCACGATCTTGAAGCGCGAGGAATGCGTCGGAGTATTTATGAGAAGAGTGTTCGTGACGAAGATGAAACTACGACCAGGGGAAAACGAGAGTTATCCGTCCATATTAGTACCGCGTGTTTGGTATGCATAAATCATGCAATTCTGAGAATTTTACTCATTTATATTTTCTTTAATTCAGATTAATTATAAGGAACTAATGTAAGAAAATACGCTATTTTGTATACGCTTATTTTGTAACACATTGTCACACATTTTTCAGGGCTAATCCTAAAAGATTCAACTTTGATAATATTGGCGATGCTATGATGGCTTTGTTTGAAGTACTTTCTTTCAAAGGATGGCTTGACGTACGGGATGTTCTTATTAAAGCTCTTGGTCCCGTGAGTCATTATTTCTTTTGACAGAATAATAGATTATGTTGTTTAATATAGATGATCACAAAAATTACAAAATTTGGAATTGGGTAAGAATATTATTTCTCCGTCACATTCTTCAATATCTTATTGTATCTTTTTTCAGGCTCACGCTATCTATATACACGTTTATATTTTCCTCGGTTGCATGATCGGCTTGACATTGTTCGTGGGTGTGGTGATCGCGAATTACTCCGAGAACAAAGGCACTGCTTTGCTCACGGTCGATCAAAGACGGTGGTGAGATGTCGCATATTTCGTCAGTAAATATCGCGATCTCTAGATTAGGAGTTTTTTTTTTGTTGGGTATAGGTGCGACTTGAAGAAACGTCTGAAGATCGCTCAGCCACTGCACTTACCACCTAGACCGGACGGCAAGAAGTTCCGTGCTTTCATCTACGATATCACGCAGAACATTTATTTCAAAAGATTCATTGCTGTTATGGTACTCGTGAACAGCGCTCTTCTGTGCGTTTCTGTGAGTTGAACAAAATAATATTCGGATATAGATGTGTGAGATTCGATAGATATTTTTCAAGGCTGATTATTTCCTTAAATTGAATTACAAAAATATGTATTAATTTTTAGGAATATTATTAATTATAATAAGTGTATGCTTGGAATTGTAAAATTGTAAAATTGTGCTAAATCATAATTCTTACGTCATATAGCGTCATATAGCGCATATAGCGCAAAGATTAATCACAAAATTAGGAAAAATAGTTTTATAGACTAGCTTGACATTCTGTTTAGTTTTTTACGGATTTATTAACATTGCTACATAGAATCAAGCGCTTGATTCATATCAAAAGAAATATGCAATTTCAACGAATATCGTAAGAAAATTTTTCTTGAATTATTTATTCCTTGCCATCATTAAACTAGTAAAAATAAATATAACGTGCCTGCTCGTGTTTAATCTGCTATCTTTCTTCCTTTTTTATCTTGCTCATCTGAAGTGGAGACTCGAAGAGGAACACACAGAAGCTCTGGCTATGGTCTCCACGATTCTGACACTGGTGTTCCTTGTGGAAGTAATCATGAAAAACATTGCTTTTACACCGCGTGGTTATTGGCAATCCAGGAGAAACAGATACGATCTACTCGTGACAGTTGTAGGCGTTATTTGGATTATCATACACTGCACAATGCAGGTATTTTCATCATCAAGAATCCTTTGTATTTTTTCTTCGTCTATCACTCGTTGTTCATTCTCATATTATCATGTTTTATTGTATTAATCTCAGAACGATCTGTCTTACGTAATTGGATTTATGGTCGTAATCTTGAGATTCTTCACCATCACTGGCAAACACACCACTCTCAAGATGCTAATGTTGACAGTTGGTGTATCCGTCTGCAAGAGCTTCTTCATCATATTCGGCATGTTTCTTCTTGTCTTCTTCTACGCGTTAGCTGGCACTATAATCTTTGGTACAGTGAAGTACGGAGAAGGTATAGGAAGGTGAGAAAAGTATATACTGTCTACGAAATTTTAAGATATATATAAAATACACGTGCAATATAATTTAATATAAATCTCTTCCAATATAATTTTTTTAGTATTAAATTCTTTTTCGCTCTATTATAATATTTCTTTATCTTGCTCTGCTTCCGCTTGATATATCAGAAATAATCTCTTTGTAATTTAGACGCGCTAATTTCGAATCACCGGTTACCGGCGTGGCGATGCTCTTTCGCATAGTGACGGGGGAGGATTGGAACAAAATTATGCACGACTGCATGATACAACCACCCTATTGCACACCGGCGGATAATTACTGGGAAACGGATTGCGGCAATTTCCACGCTTCTCTAATTTATTTTTGCACTTTTTACGTCATCATTACTTACATCGTCTTGAATCTTTTAGTGGGTATGTATGCAATATACTTGTACATACATCAAAGAAGCTTATACAAAATCATGTTGATTAGATTTTAAAAAATCATAGCTGTATTTCTCCTCTTAGATTAGACAAAAAAGGAGATTGTTTAACA